GTATTGATAATTAATAATTAATAAATTAGATAAAAAATTTTATTCACTACGAATTGATCATGTATACGATTTGATTTACTTGTAGTTATAACAAACTCTACTCTTCAAGTAAATCTCTTAGGTAAACGGGTAGTGAATTAGTCTTTCAAGCGTCAGGTCCACGATTCGATTCCCACTCGCGCCGATTTTTTTTTCGTATGGATATAATTATATATAATTATACCTAATTATATAGGGCTATTTTTCATTTATAATTATATCATATAATTACATATAATTTTTTTTACCCGGGTGGGTATATAGTCTGATATACTTATATTAAAGCATATATAGTCTGATATGGCCAATTTCCATATCAGGCCTGATATGGACGGTTTATATCAGGCCTGATATAGTCTGATCAGAAAATTTTTTCACGGGCATGTCTTTGTCTATGCGTAAATGCGCTTACGTGTACAAAAACACATAGTGTTACTCTCAATAAATTAAAACTCGGAAGTTCCCGGTCTATTAGCCTAACGCGCTAGGGCCGAATACTAAAAACTATAAATATTTTAATTGTAAAATTAATTAATTACCCTGAATTAATTTTTTTTACATAACTCAACCAAACAAAAACTTTTCACAACTAAGGAGCTACAAGACGAGACTAAGTCTCTCAAGACAGGAAAGGCGCCTGGCTCTGATGGCATCCCGGCATCGATGATCAGGATTGTAGCCCTGGAATACCCAGACATACTCCTGAACGTCTAAAATGCATGCCTGGCAACTGGCACGTTTCCTGCGGTCTGGACGCAGCAGAGATTGGTTCTTTTAGACAAAGGTAAAGAAACCCCTTTAACACCTTCGTCGTTTAAACCACTCTGCATGTTGGACATTGCCGGAAGACTGCTCGAAAAGTTTATACAAGGAAGACTTCGCAACGACATCGACCGTGCTGGAAGCTTCGCCACCAACCAACATGGCTTTCGGTAACGTCAATCGACAGTCGGCGCGATCTGATGAAAACTCGATTTTTGTAAAACGGGGTGAAAACAATAACTTTCCGATTTTTGAAAATCTTCGATTTTCTTAGCGGGAAGTTAAAAATCAGTAAAACAGTTGACCCTACAGGCCATCTCTGCAATTCCCCGCTAATTTTAAATGCAAAACGCGGAAAATTTCACCTAACGTTTTTGAGCTTTTCGAACTCAAGAACATGGTTTTATAGCTATCTTAAGCTACCCGATGTAAGATAGCTCTGTTATACGATTTTGTGCTATTCGAGCGGCAAAATCTAGTTCGTATTCAATAAAAAATTTTTTTAAATTTACATGAACTGCAATAACTTTCGGAAAAATCAACCGATTTTGATGTGCTTGGTACCATTGAGCGTAATTAAGATAGATCTACGAAAATTCTTAGAAACAAATTCGATCAAATGAAGAATTGGAAAATTATGTTGAAAAACCAAGTTTATTTTAACTTCCCGCTTAGAAAATCAATGATTTTCGAAAAATCAGGAAGTTATTGGTTTTACCCCGTTTCGCATAAATCGAGGTTTCAATAGATCTCGACGTTTTGAAGCCCTAAGAAGCTTCCCTGACTACTTTTACAATGATGTCCGTACGTCTATATATACATGTGTTTCTGTGTGTGTGTGTAAACCTCTTATAACTTTTAAACGCCTCAACCGATCGGATCGAGATAGGTGGCGATCTAAAGAGTATCATTGCCATTAAAATTTGAATCGATTCGGTTCGCTAGATTTTGTGAAATCTCAAAAATAACATTTTCAAAAAATAGTTTTTTTGGAATTACTTCTAAACGGCTCCACCGATCAATTCTAAAAACTAGTGCTGTACAATTTGGCCGACTAAACCGGCCATAAAGTTTAACCAGGTTAATTAGTTCATCGGCCAGCTGGTTAATCCAAATTCACCGGTTAAACCGATTAACTAGTTAATCGGTTTAATTAGTCAAACTGATTAACCAGGTAAAACTGTTTTCATTATTGTTTTATTTAAATCTATGACAACTTTCCGAATAAAATTAAAACTTTTCGGATTTCTATTGAAATATTAAAAAACATTAAATTGATTAGTTGGTCATTTTTATTCTAAGTGATGCAAATTCCGACTCTGGAACTTCAAATAAACGAAAGCAAGTATCTAAAAAAACCTATTACTCTCGGGAAGTAAGTATTTATATTATTTTTCAGTTCAAAATACGAAATATTAATTTTCATTTTATAAATTTTTTTTAGAATCCTAAATTTGAATCAATCACTGCATCATGTGTAAAAATGATTGCATTAGACTTGTTACCTCTGTCTTTTGTGGAAGGTGATGGTTTTTTACAATTTATGAAGACAGTTTGTCCAGAATATACAATACCAAGCAGAACAGTGATTCAAAATTGCTCAAGTATTACATATGATTTTGTGAAAAAGGAAATAGTTTCTGTCTTTAAAAATTTTCCTTTCATATTAATAACATCTAAGGCTTGGTCATCACTTTCAACAAAATCATTTTTAACGATAACTGTTCATGCAATTGATGATTTATATAATTTACGTTCTTTTACTTTAGACACTTTGGAAATGCCCGAAAGTCACACAGCGATTAATATACGTAAGCATTTATCCTCGTCATTGAAAGAGTGGAATATTTTTGAAAAAATTGTTGCAGTGGTTCATGATAATGCTGCTAATATGGTTGTTGCTATACGTCTTGATTCTCCAGGAAATCCCAAATTTACAGAAAGCTTCCGTTGTTTCTCACATACTTTACGATGTGCTCTTACTACAGCTTTGAAAGAAAAAAATATAAACGACTGCCTTCATAAAGTTAGTGCCATTGTAGGACACTTCAAACACTCTTATATTGCAACTGACGCTTTGATAACTGCACAAAAAGAATTGAAGCAACCAAACCATCGATTGATAACTTATTGTGTGACTTGGTGGAATTCTGCATACTTAATGGTAGAACAAATAATAGAGCAACATCTTGCTATTGAAATGGTATTGATTAAAGATCAACATCATCTTTGGAAATTCAAAGAAAATTATCTTTGAGAAAGTGTGATAGGACATATTTAGAAAATATTATAAAAATTTTAAAACCATTCAATGTAGCGACAAATTTAATGAGTAGTGAAACTCATTCCACTATTGCTATGGTGCGACCAGTTATACGCTCAATTATATCGAATATTTTACAACTCAATGAACAAGACTCGGAATCTATTTAACTACTAAAAGAAACATTAGCAAAACAACTCCAAACTCGATTTTTAGATGAACAATCGCCAGAATTGTTTGAGATTGCGTGTTTCTTGGACCCAAGATAATGGTTATTTATAATTATTAAAATTTTTTTATACAGTAGAACCTCGATAACTCGAACCTCGTTAAGTCATAATCCTCAGTAAGTTGAAGAAAAATGCGATTCCCTTCCGTTCAGACCCATAATACGTGATATTTCGAACTTTCTTGACTCTGTAACTCGAATGTATCCTATCCCGTGAAGTATTATTCATATAAATTTAGACTCTATGCCTCGAAGTTCCAAAGAAAGACTCGGTATGTCGAAGTATGAAATTGTAATGATGTCATCTTGTACATTTATGTTTTTCCTTGTCGCAAATTGAAGGTATTTTGTCCTTGACATTGGCTTGTTTTTGTATCTTTGCTTACTTTTGTATTTACTTTTTCTTTGATGCATGGCTTGAAAGAAATTCATCAGTCGGCTCACAACATTCTTTGCAAAATGACGAGTAAACGGTTGATTATGAAGACTGATTATTTAAATTAATGAATTTTATAACAAATAAATTTCATACATTATATTGAAATAAATGATGTTGATGTGACTTGAATTAAATGCCTTTGTAGTTAAAAATTTTATTTATTACAATAATTGTAACCTTTATAGGTAACAGTTCTACGAAATCCTCTATAACTCGAAAACTCAATAACTCGAATTTTTTTGCCTCTCCCTTGGAGTTCGAGTTATCGAGGTTCTACTGTATATCTTGATATATATTATATGCCTTGAGCGTAAAGCGCTAAGGCATAGCTCTATTAAAGTCTAAATATCAAGTTCCCCATTTCGTAATGATGATTAGTTTAAGAATGCGATGAACTGGGTCCGTATTTCATATCAGTAGCCTAGTTTACGTATTTTTTTTTTAAATTGAATTTTTATTAAAATTCACTACGATACAACTGTGCAAAGACAAACGAACTTTTCTTATTTGTCACGTGAAAACTATGGCGCCACTTGATCAAGCTAGATTTTTTTAGACTGCGTGCGCATATGACAAGAAAAAAGGGCGCTGATATTAAAAAAAAAAAAAAAATTCCCTGTAAGAAATTACTTAATCATAATTTTTTTTTCTTTTTTAATTAATTACACAATTTATTTTTTCTTAAAAAATGAATGAGTGTTATGAGGCGTGCACTTTTGGATTTTCCAAACTTTTTTAATTTTTATCTTAGATACAAAGATTTAATAGAAGAGACAGCAACGTATCGTTACGAAATAGAAGAAAAAGTCTTAGACTTGATAAGACAAGATGACAACCAGGCTGCTAATCAATCTTGCTCTAAAATCAACCAAAGAGAAAAAGATCTGGACTATCTTTTTAATCCTGATACGATTTCCCAAAATTTGAGAGAAATGTCAGTTTTGATGGAAATGATGATGACAGATTTGCAATCGAAATTTCCGGTGGCCGATCATAATATCCCAGTAAATAATATCCCAGTAAACAATATCCCAGTAAATATATCCCAAAACAAAAATATCCCACGACAAAATATCCCAAAACAAAAATATCCCATGGCAGAATTATCCCATTAACAAAAATATCTTAAATCGAATAAACGGTTTAACATCGAATAAACACACACAACAACCATGATAAAAAGGCGCAACACGTTTACAAGCTTATGTGTTCGTCTAATATCGAATAAACACACACAATAACCATGATAAAAGGGCGCAACACGGTTACAAGCTTGTTATTAATATGTAAATTGTTGATAATAATAATTAATCTACATGAAACAATAAGCTATTTCAATAATCTTATGTGATATTGAGATGTTTGGGATATTTGTGTTGTGGGATATTTATCTAGGGAGATTTATGTTTGGGGGATATATTTGTCTTGGGATATTTTTGCTTGGGATATTTTTGTGTGGGTTATTTTTGCTTGGGATATATTTTCTGGGATTTTTTGACCTAGAACCGAAATTTCCAATTATGAAACGGAAGCAGTTATTCCGAAAACAGACAATCCTCCTTCTCTTGCTAGATTAGCAAAGAAATATTTATGCATTCCATCGAGAAGTACTCCATCTGAACGTGTTTTATCAACGGCAGGGAACGTAATTTCAGCAAAGAGAAGTTGTTTATCACCACATGCAGCAAACATATTAATATTTTTGTATAAAAATCGAAGCATTATCTTAAAAAACAAAAAATTATCATTCAGTAATATAAATATCCATAATAAATGATTATCTCAAATTAAAACATAAAATAAATAAATATTAGAGTAAATATATTAAAAATATTAGATTTAATAACAATTTATTAGTTGTATAAAGGAAAATGTAAATTTACTATTTAACCGATTAGCGGATTAACCATTTAACTGCTTAATCAGTTAGCCGTTTAATTCATTTAACCGGTTAACTAGTTAATTGGTTTAACCGGTTAATTTGGATTAACCAGCTGGTCGATGAACTAATTAACCTGGTTAAACTTTATGGCTGGTTTAGTCGGCCAAATTGTACAGCACTACTAAAAACTAATCCGCTCTTAAGCTTGAAAAACCATGTCGATTGCCAGCAGTCCCGTCAAAATTAGTCAATTCGTTCGGGAGTTATCGGAAACGAAAAATTTCGAAAAAAGTGTTTTTTTTACATAACCGACATTTCTTTTTCGATCGTTTTTGATGAAATAAAATAATTATTAGAGCCCAAAAAACTACGTCAATCGCTGCCAAGAACGTGGAAATCGGTTGATTGGTTCGCGAGTTGTCGTTGTCGAAAAAATTCGGGAAAAAGTGAATTTTTTAGATTTCTCTAAAATTTTCGGTTTAGTCAGTTTGTGTTTAAAAGTGTATCATAGAATTTGAAAAACTACCCGAGAAAAAATGTTTCTATATAATCATATATAATTGTATATAATCATATATGATTATATATGGAATCACATATAATTATATAGAATTATATATAATCATATATAATTATATATAATCATACATGATTATATATGGAATTGTGTATGAGGTTATATATTATCATATATAATTATATATGACTATATATGGAGCGATATACAACCATGCAGGATTATACATAGTTCCATATACAAATATATATAAGTATATAAAATTATATATAATCATACATGATTATATATGGAATTGTATATAAGGTTATATGTAATCATATATGACTATATATGGAGCAATATAATTAACACCCTCAAGATTGTACATAGTCCCATAAAAGTGTAAAATGATGTTTATAATTACATTTAAATAATTCTGAAATACAAAATTTGTCACATTTCCTATGAGATGTTTTATCTGCTCTGCTACTACGTAATAGTAAAATCATTATTTATTTTATTATTTAAATAAGTGTTATATTATAATGAAATTCGGTAAGATAAATAAATTATGAATTATGACTATCCAAATATATTATAAAATCAATTTTTATATTATATTTATGATAAACTCATATGATACATTAAGTAGATCATAGAATCATTATTGTCTAAGACAGCAGCACAGCAGACAGAAACTTCAAGACACACGGAGATCACCAAAGTTAAGCAGCATTGAGCAGAGTTAATCGTTGGATGGGTGACTGCTGGTGTTATAGCCATAAAATTAGATCTAGATATTTATTTTGCATTTTGATCGGTTACACAGAATTGCGTAGGACCATATTAAATAATCTATCCATAAAATTAACCCAATAATTAATGAGATGTAATAAATCTATAATTAAATATTGGTATATATAATTATATATAATTATACATAATTATATTTGGCCATTTTTCATATATAACCAATTTATTTATAAATAAATATATATAATTATATATAAATACTTTTTCTCGGGGTAATAAATAGTTTATTTAATATACTTACTACATTATTTACTTTGGCCATAATGGTAAAAAGCTGATAAAATTTAGGCTTTCTGGGACATACTTTATATGTTGCGTCTATATAGAATTCTTCCGCAACTATAGTTTGTAAGAACTGTGGATCCCCAATAACAACAGCAACAGAAGAATCTCTTCCAATAACTGCAGAAACATTCAATCGGCCGGTAGGGTATTGAGTTAAATGATTCCATTTTGGATCGTTCAAAATCTGTGCGTAATTTTCAAGTGAAGTTGGAATTGGTGGACGTACAGCTTGTCGCCACCTCATCATAGATCTTTCTATGCTCCGAAAAGTTACAAAAGCAGCAGCATCAGGATGTTTAGAAGAATAGGCTCTGCCTTTATTAATCCGCAAAAATTACCCAAGTCAAAATTTCTCACACAGCAATATCTTAAATACAATTATTTCAAAAAACAAAATTTATCATAACATAAATTAATTTGACGAAAATTAATCATCATTGACAAAAATGCTTATATATCTTCAACATTAACATAGCCCTTTTATCATGGTTTTTATGTGAGAAAATATTTTATAAGAAATTATTGCTGAGAATTTTTGTCGCGAGAAATTTTTGCATGAGAAAAAAGAGACGGTCACCAGAAGAAAGTATAATAATTTATTTTTTGATGCATAATAAAATATTTTCGATTAAGCATGCAAAAATTACACTTATCATAGTACTCACATCAATGCTATCTGATTATAAATACTCCGTAAATCTTGAAGAGATAATTCTGTTGCTTCACGAAGCTCCTTCTTCATTTGCCTAATGATGTCATACATCACATTGGGATTATGATTATGATTTTTTCTCCACGTTATTTTTTCATTTCTTATTTCCCCATGAGCTGGACATTGTTCTCGATTTTTAGCAATACATTGTATGTAACTAGTAAAACGGATAAATGACAAAATTAAAATTTAATTATTAAAGTAAATGAAGTTTTGAATTTTTGTATGAGTATCAATAGAAATTAAAACACAAAAAAAGCTTGCATCTCGATGATACTAAAGTCAGCTGACACCTGTCAATTTTTAAATTTTTATAATAAACCAATAACATTAATAATGATGTTTTTAAAAATTTCCACAAAATATTTTTTTTAATTTTCACATGTAAAATATTTTTATTACATTTTTTTCATCATAACTTTATTGATTTTAAATTATAAAAAAATTTCCAATATCTGTCAACTTCAGTGTCATTGCATCTCGAATATTATTTTAGTCAACAAATTATAGTAATATTAAGAATAACGAAAAATTTTATTAACTTACTTAACGCTGCCATAACTCGATCTTATTCGATAACCGTAATGGATCATTTCATCTTCAGCTATCATTTTTTAATTAATTTAAAATTAAATATTCTGCACTTCGATGTTCCACACATATGTATATAACCAAATTATACACGGATACACATACACACATCGATATGCATTATTCCCCTGTTGAAAATGTCCAATAGAAACTCATAAAAAACGATAAGGATTGTATGGGCTTCTATATGGTCTATCTGGAACGAAAAATTTCCCGATAGAGGTGAGGTTGAAATTAATCGGAATGTATGAGCAAATCCAGTCACAACTTTTGTTCTAATTGGAATGAATAAGATTTGAATGGTTTCGGTAAAAATGTGGATTTAATACGGAGAAAACTTATAGGATTCTAATGTTTCTTATAAGGAGTTGTCTAAGATTCGAGAATTTATACGTCATTACTAATAGAACAATTGATGGGTTTTTATTTGGATTTTTCAACTGGGTATAGTTATCGTTCTTTATCGGTAATAACCAAGTGATAAAATATAGGGATTCATGAGTCATTACCGATAAATAATAAGTCGGTAATCTACAAGGAATTACCAATACAGGATCATTTCAAATCTGGGATTATGGAAGGATCTCCAATTAGCAAATAATTTGTGTTTTAAAAAAACCAGTTTGGAATTCCAGCGACAAAAACACATTACAATCTTTTAAGATTCTATAGCATTCTTGGTGTCTATGAGGATCAATCAGTAAATTCAAATACAAAATTAATCACGATATTCATAAGAAAATATAGATCTGAATTTGGAATGGCCCGGTTGCAATCTAATAGGATTTCACTTACATCACACATATGAGAAATTGTATATTCTAAGCAGATATCCAAGTATTAATTTCAGATGAAAATATGAATTAAAGATTGCAATAAGAAAGATTTTATGTGGATTTCCTATTTTACCATAAGGATCCGACAAGCTTCAATGAAAGGCCTTTAGATTAATTCTTTGGTTTTGTTTATTTCACTCATTGATAATTTTAGGAAGTATGGAAATTGAGTTTTTTTTGGTCACATCCAAAAAAAAAAACAATTAAATACAATGTGACTCATAATTTCGAGAAAAAAATTTTATTTCTTATTTTTTATCGCTCAATAAATTTAAAGGTATTATGTTTACTTGAATTGACGTTATGAAAAATATCCCTGAGGATGTGTCCTATAATTCTAATTATAACTGCGTTGCAACAATTAGAATCCATCGTCAGGTTAAAAAGTTTTATAAAGATCTCTCGTTTCACCGATAGAATTCAACAAGTTTCAATAAAAAGTATCATCATAAATATCTCACATGTAATCTTTCAATTGTTTTAATATTTTGTAATTTTAAATTATCAATAATACTGCCCAACATTCAAGAATTCAGTCGCTACAATCTCCATAAATAATTATATCCAGAACAAAAAGTTTAAGTCCGACTCAATGTTTTGGTATTAGACTCAATTTTACTTTTTTCAAGAACAAATTGACGAAAAAAGTGAAGAGGCTACTACATTGTTTAAAAATTTAAACAAATTAATTACATTTTCCGATTCTGATATTGACTAGTGTGGAACTAATTAAATTAATTGGGTTGTATCGAATCTGATGAGGATATCCTGATTTAGCAATACAATCTAATAAACCCCATTAGAAATCAACGAACATCGATTATTTTTTTTTTCTTTTATAAGTAAATTATATTAGATTTTTGAATTATCGAGCTTACTTCGTATCTATGTCGGGATATACGCTTCCTTCAATTTTGAGGATGAAAAAATAATTCTCATTTTCTTGTTCTTTTTTTTTTTTTTTTTTTTTTTTTTTTTTTTTTTAAATGTTAAATCTGTATGAAA